AAACACGCGAGAAATTAACGAAAAAGAATAATAATAAATAAAAAGATCACAAAAAAAGGCAGTTACGAAAGATAAAATTAGTAAATTTCCTAAACATTTTTTTACAATTTATTCCAATTAAAACAAAACACCAATTTTATTTAGCGACTTCAGTTAGCGCGAGCAAACAGAAACCGAACGGTACCGAAAGAATTAATGTAACATACACGCTGAAAGAAACCCCGGTAAGATATTTAAAGATATTACGGAAAGAAACTCCGTAATGCATGTGCCTTAAAAAAGACAAATCTCTAAATTTTATACGAGTATTACACACGCGAGACACTGCAAAATGATAATAAATAAAAACATCACAGGAAGAGTTTAATTCGAAAGGTGAAACTCGTTAACTCCTTCCGGGCAAGTCACTAAATATTTTTTAACAATTTATTTTAAGTAAATCAAAACACCAATTTTATTTGGCGTTTTCAGTTAGTGCGAGCAAGCAGGTAGCGAACGATACAAAAATTACCCCGTAATTCATGTGCCATAAAAGATAAATCTCTCAATTATATAATAAATATTTTTAATAAGGATTTTATATATAATATTTGAGAAATATTAATTTTTTTAACGCTATATTTGTAAGAAATTTTTTTAAATAGTTTGAACTGATTAGTTTAAAAACAAAATTCTTGATGCAAAAGAGAAAAAATATAACACCTATTTCAGAAATCAGGATATGTAAAATTGAAGATGGGAATTTTCCTTCCTGCACGAGCAAGATATCCTAAAATCGGAATTCTAAAGAGAAGACAATCACATTCACTTGGTGGCAAAAAATACTCCGCAAATATCGATATAAACTTGAAATCTGAATGAGGAGATTCAACTGCACCGATCCCTGCAATATCAGAGTTTGTTTTTTTTCAACCGCCAAATATCGATATAACCTAGTGAATTAGTTTTGAATGAAGAGATTCAATAGCCCATTCCGATTTAACTATACCAACCCCTGCACCAGATGTGATTTTGGCAAATAGCCAAAGAAGTTGAACGCACGTGTTACCGGGAGAATGAGTTGATAGTTGGCCTTGAATCTTTCCCTTATGCTACGGCAGATTGGACTCTGTTCTGTACATTCTCGCAATGATTAAACCGGTGTTTCACTACATCGGAGAGAGCAACGTCGATTTAGCGTTTGCTCTCATGAATAAATCAAATTTAGTAGAGTCGAAATGCTCACTCCGGAAATTTGTTGAAGATGAAATGGATAAATCGGTATTACGATGTTGGAGTTAAATCGATATATTGTCTTACATCGGTATAAAGCCCAGTCCTAATTGACACTATGCAAATTAGGATAAGTATATATAAGCCTGTAACTCATATTGCAAATACTGTTTCTATCATTATTCCTCTTACGTGTTTCTAACTATTAATGTCTTATTTGCCTCACATCAATCCTCATAATAAGCTTATAGGCTATTTAGTGTTACACCTTGCATTCTTCATACATCATATTCATCGTCAAAAGTATGAAGGCATGTGCAGTTTCTATGTCCTGATCTCCAGAAGAACCTTTGCAGCCTCCTTGTGGTGAGAGTGTGCTATGAGTGCGAGTGAGTAGGTGCTTTTTTAACACTATCAGAAAAAAACTGAAGAGAGCGAATTCTACTATTCACTGTAGGCATGTCATAATATACATTGAAGAAACAATATGTTGATTTCAAACTTAATGACTTCATTAATTTTTTTCACCTATGATAACTAGAAGCTGTCTACTATACATAATCCTGGGTGAATACTGCAAGTAAATAAAAACATGCAACTTACAAATCATGCCCATGCATACGTGATAGAACCAACAAAAGTTATATGAAAAAGAATTATGATCTTTAAACATTTCTATTCTCAGGTTTACAACAAAAAAACTATGTTCTAAAGAATTAAAAGAATAAACCATGCAAAACAAGCACATTCAAAAAAGAAAAAATTCATTTATCTTGACGCTTTTCTATTTTTCATAATATTAAGATCACACTAAATAAAATTCTGTTGGTAACAAATTAAATGAATAAGGAATAAAAAGAAAATGCAGTAAAATAATACAAACATGAAATTTGAATTCTGTCCATTCTGTCATCAAAATGGACAGAAATAAGCAATTAGTTTAAGAGGTTAATGGAAAAACAAGCTAAACATTTTAGCAACATAACAAGCTCTTAAATGAAGAAACTTAAATACAGTACAGAACCTCTTATCCGGAAATCAGAATACCGGAAAACCGGAATGAAATTCGATAAATTTTCCCGCCATTTTTAAATTTTTTTTTATTTATTTTCCTCAAAAGATTTCAGAATTCTTTCTTTTTTAAGAGATGTTTACCATCATTTTAGAAATAATCATTAGTTCCCTACACTGTCAAAAGAAGTAAAGAGTTTTTTAAAATTATTCTAAATATATATATATTTAGTTGAGTTTGACAATAAAAAATTTAAAAAAACCCGGCTTTTTGTAGCGATTAGGAAAACCGGAAAAATCAGTTATCCGGAATAGCGACGGTCCCGATCGTTCTGGATAATCGGTTCTCTACTGTGTTTATAAAATGTCACTAAACATTATAAAAAAAACTTTTCAATTGGTGAAATAACTTAGTTATTTCACCAAACTGCTCAGTTGTAAGCTCAAATATATCTCCACTGAAATAAAGCAGGAAAAGTAGAGTTTGAAATACTTGATAACAACTGCGAACTAGAATCACATTTTGCAACTCCTTCATTAGCAATTGGCATGATAGAAAACTAACTATAATCTATTATAAAAATTGTCACCATTGCAAGAATTATAGCCACATAAATTTTTGAATGTCTCAACTATTTATTTTAAAACCTATAACGTAGCAAATCTTGTTACTTACGAAAGAGGAGCACTACTGTGACGCAAATCATCCACAGAAGGAAGTTGAGAAGAAGAGATTAAAGATGGAGCAGAAACAGGGAGAGTATTATTATTAGTAATAGAGCTAGAAGAATATGCAAGAGGAGAAGATCCAGGATTAGTACTGAGAAAAGTATTTAAATCCCACTTGGATGGTGATGGATGATGAGGTGCTACATTTCCAGGGGAAGTAATTAAATGTCTCCAGTTACGTCTGTCATAAATAAGTAAAATAAAAACATTATATGAATAATGAGGAAATTATATCCTGAGACTTTTAAAAATTGATGGCCATTGTTTGCATTTTTGTTTGTACAATATTTCTTTTAACAAAAATTATGTACCACTAAAAAATATGTAGCCATAAAAAAAATTATTTTAGTAATATTTGATTTAACAAATTCCTCCTTTTTTAAAAAAAACATCTTTTCATCTCATATTCTTCTTTGTCAGCACAACAGCCCCTCGCAGGCCTTGGCTGCTTCAACAGCTGACACACGCCAGCACCTCCTATCCGTGGCAACTCCCTTCCAATTTCTAATCTCTAGAGTTTTCAGGTCGTTTTTGATGTCATTGAGCCATCTAGTAGGGGATCTACCTCTGAGATGTGACCCCTCAGAGTTCTTAAAGGTGACGATTCTCTATTTTCAGGGCTTCTCAACATATGGCCCAGCCATCTCAGCTTATTACTGTGGATTATTTGTGTAATTTGGGGCTGCTTGTAAGGTCAGTAGAGCTCGAAGTTATATCTAGTTCGCCAACACCCCTTTCTTAAATTGCTGCAAAGATGGCTCTGAGGATCTTTCTTTCGAAGGTGTCCGCTGTGTATCTGAATTTAGGGTCCAACTTTCGCTTGCTTAAAACAGTACAGAAAGCATGAGTGTCTTATACAGTTTTAATTTTCTTTTTCGGCTGAGAAAATTCGATCTTAATTGTCTCCTCAGTATAAAATAACACTTATTAGCCATTTTGACTCTGTTGTCTATTTCGAAGTAAAAAAATGATTTTAGCAATATTTGATATAACAAATTTCTCCTATTAAAAAAAAAAAAAACTTTTTTTTTCTTCTCCCATTAATGTTAGGTAATATACCTGAACTAGAAAATGCTCTCTGAAGAACAATTTATGTTTAGAGCAAAACTATTTGCATGCTTTTTCCCACAGAACAATTTATATTACATAAATATCATAAATAATATTTATTTAGGTGGTCATGCCTAATTTGAGATACCAACTTATTTATGTTCTTTTAGTTTACAAAATTAAATTATTTATCATTTAAAAAATTTAAACAGTAAATTTTTTTTATTTTATACAATGTACGTGAAAAACATTCTGCTCCCAAAAGTGTTTTTAGGCTGGTGTTAAGTTAATAAAACTACTCAAATAATAACAATGATACAGATAGATTTTGATTTCTCATATTTATTTATTTTTACGTATTTTTGTAATTACTAATATTTATTTTGCCGCTGATAAAGTTATTTTTCCCTTAATCCCATCAGGCGCATGCACCAGGAAAAGAATCTATGCACTCAATATCCAAATAAAGAAGCATTAACTCATAATTTACTGAATTATGATCTTCTAGATATTAAAATATCATGACAAATCTAAACTTTATTTTATCGATACGGATAATCCACAGAAGAATTTTCAGAAATGTTGTTATAATAAATAAATACAACGAAAACCTACCGCCTTGATGGTGAATGAATCGGTGGTGCCTGTTTTACTGGTCGACGAACTGGAGACAAAGTGGAAGATGCATTTGAACTTTCAGGTGTTTGAGAAGAGCCATTGGTTCTCAAAGGTTTCAATGGAGATATATAAGCTGAATGATAAGCTGCAGATGATGTCATTGGCTTAAAAGGTTGAGAGGAAGACCTTGGATGAGGTTTTAAGTTATCTATGCTGAAATTTTAAAACATAAAATTAAAAATGCTAATTTTCTAAGATGTAAGATATAAATAAATAATTTAAAATTTCAAAAAACAAAACTTTTATTAAAAATTATTATGTAAAAATATATGACTGCGAAAATTATTAAAGTCATTATAACATTGATAAAAAGAGCTAGCTTTAAAATAGGGGTGCTCAACCTGTGGCCCGCGGGCCAAATGCGGCCCGCCAACCCTCGATGTGCGGCCCGCGGCCGCAATCTGAACAAAATGAAAAAAAAAATTAAATATTTGTTTTTGAAAAATAATAAAAAAAATTCGGTAATTTAAATTTACACTTTTAAGTTTTTGACGCACCCAATCTCAATCAATGTAGTTTTTCGATGGTTAACGCTACGGATTTCAGCATAGTTTTAAAAATCCCAATATTTTTAATACATCATTATTACGATTTACGAATTTTAATTACCACTTTTGACGCTTTTCGTATGTGCCGATTCCAATGACTTTTCGGTAGTTATTGCTACCCATTTTCAAGTAGTTTCTGAAATAGCGATTTTTGAAAGTTATGAAACGCTTTATTTGTGCAAACTTCATGGAAAATCTAAATGACTTTAGATCCTTTCTTCAACAGTTATTGCTGCACATTTCCGCCCGGTTTTTAAAACTTCGATATTTTAGCACGATATTATTACGAATCGCGAGTAAAGAATCGCTCATTTAGATAACCATTTTTTGACATGGCTTATTTGTAACGATTTTATCGCAAATCAAATTATTTTTCAATCGTTATTTTAGAAATTATTGCTACACATTTCTACAAGGTTTTGAAAGTACCGATATTTTTTATACGCTATTGCGACATTTTAATTTCAAATCTCGCATTTAAATTACATAAAATTTTGATGGACTTTATTTACTCCAATTTCATCTAAAATATTAAAGTATTTTGGTTATTGTTTTAGTAGTTATTACGTTTTCCCCGTGATTTAAAAAGATTATGATATTTTTAATACTTTGACAGCAAGCGAGTTTTGAATCGCGCATTAAAATAATTATTTTTTACGTGCTCTGTTTGTGCCGATTTTATCATTTGCGTTGTACCGATTTTAACACGAATTTTTTAAGAGGTTTTTCGAAAGTGTTTTTTCTTCTTTCCCGTTATTGCTGCATTTTTATTTGTGATTTAGAATATACCTGATATTTTCACACAGTATTACAACTCGTGAAATTCGATTCAGCTTTAATTTTTTTTCGTAACTTAAAAAGTAATTACGTATCTTAGCCAAATCAACACCTTCCCAGGAAAAAAAAAACCTAGATGTGTTTAAATGCGGTCCGTTTTGCAAAAAAAAAAATAAAAAAATAAATAATTCAAAAAACGGCATAATTCTTTAGTCCCATGAACACGTGCAAGTTTAACAACACACATCGAACCTATTCTTTTTGTTGTCACATGTAATTTAAAAGTCATACATCGTAATTTGTATTTACGCTATCTGAAAATTGCGCATCGCATTTCGTATTAACATTAACGAGATTTAAAAATAATCCATCGCGTTTCGTATTTACGGGATTTAAAATCACATATCGCGATTCGTGTTCTGGCGTTTAAAATATCATCCGTTGCTACTTTTCTCGCAATTCATATGCACGCGTTTTAAAAACCATATATCGCGATTCATATTCATGCATTTTAAAAATCAAGTGTTGTGAGTAGTCCTTTCGCAATTTAAAAGCCACACGATTCGTATTCACGCGATTTGAAAAACAAGCATCGAGTTTTTTATTTACGCAATTTAAAAATCACACATGGCAATTCGTATTCAAGCAATTAAAAAATAACACATAGCAATTCGTATTCAAGCAATTAAAAAATAACACATCGCTATTTGTATTTCCGCGATTTAAAAACCCAGAAAGGAAGAACACCATCTAGGACAAATTCCAAAACTGATTATGTTATTTGCTCTAAGTTTAATACTACCCACAACAACAGCTTCTGTCGAAAGACTGTTTTCCAGAATGAATTTGGCCTGTTCAAAATTACAGAGTAGTCTTTAAATACAATCATTACATTTTCATTTAATGGCTCAAAAAATATCACATGATCAAGTAGATAAAATTATCACAATATTCAAAAATTTTGCAAATTACAGTATAACCATTAAGAAATTTTTTAAACCATTTTCTACCTTCTTGGAGCATTTTATATCATTTATGATTATATGCTGGGAAATGATTTGTATATCATTAAATTTTAACTGTATAAAAAATTTAATCAAGATAAGTTTCGAAAAGTAATGTAAATTTTATTGATTGTTAATTGATTGTGTATTAATTGTAAATAGTAAGTGTCATGTTAAAAATATATTCGTCATAAAAAGTTGTAAACAAGTATCTTAATAGTTTTTTATTATTAAGGAATATAGTTCCTTAAAATTTAATGTGTTTTCTTCTTTCTTTTTCTTTCCTCTCATAGCCTCTTATTATTAATTTAAAATAAAAATGTCTGAAAGATAAAGTACATTCCCTAATAAATGCTAAGTCTTATTTTCCACTTAAGGGGTTTAGTTTTAGTTTTAATCATTTTTAACCCTATAAACTTTCTTTAAATCAAAGTATTTAACTTGAATTTATATTAATGACTAGAATATTTATTTATTTGAAATTTAATTCTATGAAAAAAAAATTAACGTTAAAATTTATGTTTAAATGGACTTTTGTATTTTGTAATGTGATAAAAAAAATTTCAATTTTTCCATAGTTTTTTAATTATTTCAATTTATCTAAATTTTTTCCGATAAATTGATTCTGATTTTCGAATTCTGTTTTCCTTCTTAAGTAATCAGTTTTGCATTTTCTAATTTTAAACGTTTTAAAGTATTGTATTTTCTGCAAAGAGATTACAAGGTTAACCGACAAAAAGAATTTAGTGTTATATAAACAATGATGTTTATATAACAATCACCACCAACAATTGCTTTCAATATGTCGGTCTAAACACTTTGGCATGCGGCCCTTCATTGGTCAATCTGCTGTGCATGTGGCCCTTCACTGAAAAAGGTTGTGCACCCCTACTTTAAAATAACATACTATTGAACTAGCTGATACCGATTTTTTAGTATCAAGAACTGCAAATAATAAATTATTATTAATTGAATCGACATACATAATTATGTGTAAAACTGAAAGGCATTTATTGACACAATTGAAAAACGCTTAATTCTTCTTTCTTTTTTTTTTGTTATTTGCTGTAAAGTTCATTTATGATTTAAATTATAACAATCTAAAATATCACATTAAAAAAACAATTTAAATCTCCTGATTTTTTTTTTTTTTAAAAAAGCATTTATTTAAACTAACTGATCTTTTTAAAGTATATCATAAAATAGAAAATATTTTTATAAATTTAATCTTCAGAGCATGATTTTTTGGAAATTCTGATTTCATTGATATTGAAGGCTATAATCCAAAGAAATAATGAAAGTTAAGTGAATTGTCAATTATTATTTTTAAATAGACTAATAAATAAATAAAATTATAGACCAAAAGTAGATAACAGTGGTGTTAAATTGTTGGATTATAATTTTCCATTAGCTGTATATAAAATAACTTTCTGGTAATAAACCTATTTCAACTATATCAATTTAGTTATTTTTTTTTTCAATGCAAGTGCTTTTAAAACTTATTAAACAAGTAGTTAATGTATACCAATATTAAAGAAAGACCTGTTCTGCCCAGAGAAACTTACAATAATTTTTTTTCTTTAATGTGTTTTGAACTAAAAAAATTTTCTGACTTTTCTAGGCTGATTTTGTTGAATTTCCATGATTGATATAAATCTTATCACTATAGCTGCCATCATGGAAAGGAAAAAATCCAGTTGACTTTATAAAACAATATAAATTTCTCGATAATTGTTGCGCAATATAATAAATATTTTATATATAAGGAATTTTAGAGATTTTTATTGTCATCAAAATAAATATTTTTTATTAAGTTAACTCAAACTTTTGAATAGTAAAATAGGTAATTCATTATGGATGCCTAAATTTTTTAAAAAATTAATTTAGAAAGAGAGTTCTGAACAAAAATAAATTGAAAATTTCAGGAAAAAAAAGCATTAAACTGATTACTATTATCGAGCTCGCTTCATTACGTATTAGTTATATTTATTTAACTACTCAAACACGCAATAAATTACGAAAATTTTTTATTTCAATAATGATTTTTTTGAGAAACTTACTTAATATTAGGAAATTATCTAAAATGTAAAAATCGAGGAGAATTTTTATCAAACCAGTAGACCATAAGAAACTGACAAAATTGACTATTTTACTAGTAAATCTAATACAGTTGGCAGCTATTCATTATTTTTTCAATTATACCATATTCTAATACACAAAATTAATAAAATTTTCTGTTCTATTGTCACTCTGTTCTTTAATTGATCTTAAAACTGGTGATCATTCAAAGATATATAAATTAAGAACTGTCTAAAAAAACTTAAAACCCACAAGTAAACCCTAAAAATTTTGGAAAAAAACCTGCAGAATTTCATCTTTGACCTAACTATTACTATTGATTAAAAAACAATGTAGAAATGTTAACTCACTTCATAAGCACATGCATGTATGCAAATTTAGTGGTCATTAGTATCACCAAATAGCTTATACACACATGCATATTTTCACCATTATAGTCATATATATTCCTTATTGAATTTAAAAAAATAATTCTAAAATTTACTGCCTCTTCCCTTTTTCTGTATGATGCAAATGATTTTACCAGACAAAAAAGTTATTCCTGCGTTTTTACCTTAAGCCTCCAGTTGTGTGAGATCTTGGCTGCCGTCTCATTGCTTTTATCCTATTTAATTTATCTCCTTGTGTAACAGCATCATCTGCTTCATTATTATTGTTATTGTCATTATTGTTGTTTCCAAACTGGGTAGTTCCATTTTGATAAGTCTAAGAAAGAATACAATTCATAACATATTTAAAGCAGTTTAGAGAAAGTTAATGAAACAATAATTACTCTTTTGTCTTTTAAACCAATAAATATTTTACCTTTTCCTTCCTACTACGAGAATTGCTTTCAGTAATTCTATTTCTATCTTCAAGTCGAATGTGTTCAACCCGGGCAAGAATGTGAGATACATCATTATCTTTCCTTCGAACAGAGGATCTAGTTAATATCCTAGTAGGTGTGTAATTATTATTTTTATTGTTGGCTCTTTCTGCCCGGAATATATTCCCTTGATAACATAAAAGACCTTGTTTTCTGGATATAAAAAACATAAGTTAGCACCCTATTTAAAATGAACATTTATTATTGAAAGTCTATATCATAAACAAAATTTACACTTGAAATAATATATCGATCATGGGCTGCAATAGTGGCACAACTAAAAAAACATGCATTTTGGTCTAAGAACAGGTGTAAATATGAAAATGCACATTCTTTTCAGCAGCAATACTAGCACAACTCATAATTAACATGAAGGTAATCTTCGTTTAAGCAAACTAAAGCAATTCTTATGCATTTTTCTTAGCAATGAAAACTTTAAACCCACTTATCTCAAAACATGATTTTTTGAGTAATGCCACTATTGCAGCCCTTGTGCGATATGTATTTATTTATAATTCTTTAAATTGACTGCAATATTTTTACATTTATCATTGACTAGGGTTTGAAAATGGTATGGTCCAACATACCTAAAGTATGAAAATTATTCAAACAGAGAGGTATAATATGGATTGAGCACTTTTAAAATTTTGGTGAAAATTAGCCAAATGCTAGATTCTGTAAATAAATGCCATTGAAGGTGGGAGAGAAAAAATAAAATCAATTGAATGTAATTATATAAAAAGGAATTTATTAAACTAAGTTAGTTATTCTTTATTGTTCCCTCAGTCATACTTATTAATATTGAAAAAAGTTTAGCTTAATTGCTGCACATGAGAAAATAATTAAAATAAAATTTATAACATTGCTTTAGGCAACATGTTGAAAAACTTGCCCCTGCCAAATGTACAATAATTTTGGCATCACTTTATTATAAGTGAAAATTTTCTAAATTTATACCATTACTGCATATTTGTGCTTCTATTTCCTTGTCAATAATACTTCATACTTATTAACATGGAAGTTATTTTACAAGGAATAAGGAAGTTATTTTATTTTTGGTATGAATAAGAAAACTAAATATTTGTTGATATATTCACTGTGAGTGTGATTTACACTAAGACTATTAAACTAAGACATTTTCATAAATTTAGGAGATACGATTTCAAAAAGGAAAATTTTGAACAATTACTTATGATGGCAGAACTATAAAAGTGGGCAAACGTGAACAACATGACTCATTCTTTATTCACAAATACCCACATCTGCGATCCGTTAGCATCATTTCTTTCGTATTTCACATTTTCCCCAAAATCGGGCACAATTATAAATTATGAATGAAAAATTACTCTTTTTTAAAAACTGACAGAGAACATTGAATTTCTAATATAAAGCTCAAACCGAGCAGAATTTCATATTATTAATTGAAACTTTAATAGCTCTTTCGGTAGTATTAATATTGAATTGACATTTTTTGTGAATGCATCAAATTGGATTCACAATTATCCCCATTGACTCTAAAAGAAAAAAATTCTTACTCTTCCAACCAATGTTGCTGGTGGCCGATGACAGATCCAGGACGACAAATTCGAATCCATGCAATTGCTTCAGCTGCAGTAAAATGATGATGCTTCATTATGTAACATGCAATTAGAGTTCCGGTTCGCCCTAATCCAGCTAAAAAAATTACAATAATGTTTAATGATATTTGCAAAAGCAAAAAAGAAAGAAAGAAAGAAAGAAAATGATAACAAATTGAACAATCATAAAAAAAAAAACTAAATGCCTACAAAATTTACCATATTTGTCGTTGTTGAATACAAATAAATAAAGGATTCTGAATTTAAAGGAACAATTTAAATAAAGAAATTTATATTCAACTTTTTAAAAACTAATTTTCTTTCAAATGTTTAAAAGTTACTTGAAGCACATATTTTATTCTATAATAGATAATGCACGACTAATTTACACACTATTTAAATCCAATCATACAATTTTTACACAACTCAGAAAGAAAGAAAAAATCTGAGTCAACCATTAAGATTAACACACTTTAATATAAAAACTTTTTAAATGATAATCTGCATTTGCTTCACATGACAGTCAATAATTGAAAACCACTTATGGTAAAATTACGCAGCTACAAAAGAATTTCTTTCAATACATAGAATAATTCTTTCTAAAGGAATTTAAATGATAAGTTACCCACCTGCTCAACAGCACTTGCTCTCATGAGTAACAGCCAAATCTTTCTTTTAACCTAACTGTCATTAATCAACGGGCAGCCCAATATAGTAATGAACAATAAAAATAATCTTCGTAGGTAGTGTCATTACATAAAATAGAAAACAGTCAATAACAGAAATGCATATGCAGAACTGCTTTCCAGACAGAGTATTCAATAGTCGCGATGAAGGCAGATATCTGTATCAACCAGTCCTATTCAATACTTATAACTCTGTAAATAGACATGACCCCTAGCAAGTCACGCCCATCGCTTCAGGCAAGACTGAAAATTCTTGCTGACTAGTTCCAATGAGTGATCCACATTTCTCTATAAGCCTTTTCTTTGTACAGGCTGAAACGGTTAGATTTAATGGAGAAGAATATAAGACACTTTATATGCAACAAAGGTTTGGTTACATCAATTAAAAAACTGGAACTGATTTTACCCTTTTCTTCTCAATTTTCAACCTCACTCAGAGGACAAGAGAATTTCTGAATCAAGTACCATGATAAACAAATTCTAATAGAGAACTACTTTCATTGAAATTAATCTGCATTTGGATAAAGAATTGAAGAAAATTATGCATTCTAAATCTATATTGTAGATAAAGTACAGTAGTATAATATATAAACTAAACTCAGTGGCGCGACAGCCCTAGAGGGCCAAGGCCTACTGTACTGTGCCCATCTTAGTTTTCTTGATCTTGGGCTCTGGGGTGCAGGAGCAGATGTTCTGGTCAGGAGGTCAGCCGAAGGTTTCAACCTCACTCAGAGGACAAGAGAATTTCTGAATTAAGTACCATGATAAACAAATTCTAATAGAGAACTACTTTCATTGAAATTAATCTGCATTTGGATAAAGAATTGAAGAAAATTATGCATTCTAAATCTATATTGTAGATAAAGTACAGTAGCATAATATATAAACTAAACTCAGTGGAGCGACAGCCCTAGAGGGCAAAGGCCTACTGTGCCCATCTCAGTTTTCTTGACCTTGGGCTCTGGGGTGCAGGAGCAGATGTTCCGGTCAGGTGGTCAGCCGAACGCGGAACCCCCAGTGTTTAGTTCCCAAGCATGCTTGGTACTCATTTTATCTACCCACTGAAGGGATGAAAAGTTTAGTCAACCTTGCCCGGCCCGAGAATCGAACCTGGGACCTATGGCACGACAGCGCGAGGCGCTACCGCTCAGCCACCGGGCGTCAGTATAATATATAGTACAGTTTAATATACAATTCAGGATATTTATTGTACTAAATATTTTTTATGCGAACTTTTAAAAGAATTCCCCCTTTGCATATATAAAAAAAATAACACAAAATTATAGAGGACACTGCCTGTAGAAGAAATAACCATAACTGTGATTAACTGCTCAGATCTTTAAATAAAATAATAAATTTTATATAAATAGAGATTTACCTTTGCAATGAACTGCAATAGCACCTTTAGCATTTTCAGCTATTTCTAAAAATTCTTCCATTATCTTATCTGTCGGGGTTCCTCCATCCGCAAAAAATAAATCTCTGTGGTTGAAACCATGATTTGAGAAACGGTGAGCATCATATACTTTTTTATTGAGGCGAACAATTGTAGTCACATTGTGCTTACGGAAGTAAGAAAGATAGAACTCTGGTGAATGCAATGGATAACCTAAAACATATGGGCATGCATAAATATAAATTTTTTAATTCACAGTTTCTATAAATAATAAAAAATATATATTTGTTATATATTACAGAATAATTAATACAAAAATATCTCACTTAATTTAAATTCGAAAATTAAGTCATTGAAACTAAGGCTGAATTAGTACAACACAATTAATTTTTTTTTTAATATTTGGGAAAATGTATGATTAAATTATTTAAATAATTCAAGTCCTACCTATATATCAGTTAGTTTACAAAGAAAAAAAAATTATGAATAAAGATTAAAATAAAATATATGATATTAATTTTCCTTTTTTTTTGTAGACAACTGTTTGTAATTTTATTACTTATTTGATTATTTAATTAATTATACCAAATATTTTTATTTGAGGTCATTTTTTTTACTCGGGTGGATAAATAAAATAGAGCACAAAATTTTATTATAACACTTTTAAAAAATACAACCAATATGGAATTTATAAAAATATTAAAAAGGTACTATAAGAGTGCAAAATTGTTCATTAAATGGCTGATTTTTATCTTAAACAGAAAACATTTGATAAGTACTCCAATGTTGATTTCATTTCTTTTTTTTTTCTAAAAAAGGAATATGTCTAAGATGTGCATAAGTCATATATACAAATAAAAAAAATTTAACCATTTTTAATAATATTATAAAAAAAATCAAATATGATTTACTAAAACTTTTAACAACAATCCATAGAAAAATTACAATTATGGAAAAAAAGATTTTTTTGTAAGCATTCAAGAAAAGATAAATCTTTCAAAAAAATATTATTACTATTAAAAACTGTAATAGAAATTAAATTTTAAATCATATTTGTGTAATTTAAAATTGAGAATAAGTCTTGCAAATGAATGAAACTAAACCTTTTTAAAATAATAATCTATAACTCTGCAATAATAAATTCCCTCCATAAAGTATCTAATAAGACCTTAATATCATTAAATAGTATTTCAAGACAACTATTAATTTTTTTCAGCAACAATAAAGGCAAAACAAACTTTTATTTTATTTTAATTACAGATTAAAACTTTTTTATATTTCAATACAATTTTCTTCTTGCAGTTATAGATATTAACATTAAAAGATTAATTTAATACAAATAATATATCAATTATGAATTATTTCAAACATAAAAACAAATCAAACTTAATTATCCTAAGGTCAAATAAATTACTCTTCCTAAAAATAAATAACATAAGTTACTTAATAAACTTTATAATATAGGACACAAATCAGTAGAAAAAATACCCCCCCCCCCTCTTACAAACCATGCTTAAAAAAAAAGAAGATCGCACAATGCTAAACTTAAAACATGTTTTAAAAAAAGATGCGATTTCGAACAAATTTCGTCAAAATTAAGTGGCAATAAAAGGAATGAAATTAATTATATGAGTCATTAAATTGCTTGCAGAAAGTTTTTAATTTTTATGTAAAACAGTCTATTCCATCTTTATTTGAAGAGTGATAAATATTTTTTTATTATTTTAATTAGAAATTTTATTTTGAAGGAAATGTTAAAAAATATTTTTTAGTATTTATATTTGTATATAACATCAAGACATAAATTAACCAGTATTAGAAGATCTATTATTAAATAATATTAGTTTCAAAATAAAATAATACAAAAACAGGCTGGCGGCTGAAAAAGGCTGGACACATACTAGTTATAAATCAAAAAAGAGAAATAATTTAAGTGATTGTAAAAATTTTGCTAAATTTTTGATAAGTTGTTTTGGACCAATATTCATGCAAAGCCTTCGTATAAACTTACCATTTTCATATTTATTTTTAGCGTGTGGGCCACAAAAAGCAATAAACTTCTTTGGAACTATCCAATTCAAGTCCCCATTTTCTACTCTCTGTAACAATCATTTAACAAAATGAAAGTAAATGGTATATAATACATCTACATTAGCATATTTTATGGCTTTAAACTAATTTTAACAAAAATTTTTAGCAATAATTTGCATAAGCACAGTAAAATCTACTAGAATCTTATCTAAAAAAACTTATTTTATTTAAGAAACCCAAAAAAATAAATATTGAAAAGTAATAAAGAAAACTAAATTTTGACACAATGCAAAAAATCATTAAAATCTAAAATTATGCAAGATACCAAGATAAGTAATTATTTTTTTCAATTGGATTAATTAAAATTTTTGTTCATGCAAATAAATTAACAGATAAATAATGAAAAGAGTTAATACTTTGCTTTCAGGACTTAGCAAAAAACTACAAAACCACTTTCCAGTCAGATTTGGAAGAAAAAAACCCTATTCCGTACCAAAGGCTTGAAACATGTTTTCGTTGATAATATTTTAATGAAATGAATACCTACTAATTTGTCTAAGATTAAGAAGCATTTTTAAAACCACTCCAAAAAAATCTATGAGTATAGTCAGGTTTACACCATAAACATAAATTATTTAACATGTTAAAGGTAGAAAAATTTACATATCCCATCATATGTTTTCTTCCATTTGCTTTTCAAGAGACTTTCTGTTCAATGTCAGTATCAAAGGTTCATCATAAATGCCATATGTATTGTTATATATATATATATNTATATATATATAATGCACGAGTCATATATACATATATGTGTGTGGTGCCAGTTCCTGTATACAAAGCTCTAACCTGATCTCAGTTATCAAATCAGTCAGTTAGAAGTCGTCTTAAGCTAGAAGTCCCACCAGTCAATGTAAGCCGCAAGCTGATCCCTGTGCACGACTAGGAAGCAATGGGAATTTCCCTAAGACATTAGGGAAATTCGAATAACGAACCGAAACAGACGGATATGGACTCCAAAGAGGAGTTATGATCGCAAAGACGAACTCTTAATCATTTATTATTTTTTGCCATTTATGTGATTGTTAATCGTCCATGTTTATGTAAATTTAGCCTTTAATATATGTTTTTGTTAAAGAACAGTGTCCTTTATTTAAGACGACCACTCATGCCGTCACCACACACACACACACATATATATATATATATAGATAGATATATAAATGCTGCATACATATTAAATACATAAGAAAAAGCAGTCATGTTGTTAGGTCTTGTCAGCCCTATCGCAAAAGATTATTAATCTTTAAGAAATGTTGTACTTTTTGAATTTATAGAGCTTCATGTAAAATAAACATAAACTATTTTTTGTCACAACCAGGGTAAATTTTACTATTTGCTTAAAGAATACTCGCAAGAAAACAATATTGAAATAAATTTCGATTCATATAATAAAACATGGTTATTTATTTTCATTGAAAACTTAAATAGAACCTTCAATACTTTAAATATTTCTTAAAACTCTTAGAAGAAATTGTGCATAAATCAAAAGTAAAAAGGAATGGCTATTTCATTCAACTTACTTCATAATGTTCATATTCATCAACATCGAATCCCTCAAAATCCAAAAAATTGTTTTCTACAGCCTAATATTAAAAAAATATTATTAATAAAAATAAAAAATCTTTGAAAAATTTTATATTTTTAATACATAAATAAAAAAATGTTTAGCAGTCAAAAAACCTATCATTAAAATAAAGATATAAGATAATAGTAGAATCTTAATTTTTTTCTGTGTTAGATAAAATAACAATCAAGTTTTAAAAAGGAACAAAAACAGCCCTAGTGACTTTGTAACTATACTATGTTATCAAAAACACAAATGAATTCAATAAAGTGAACAAAGCTATTAAATTTAAAAACATACTAGACAAAGCTATAAACAAAAACATTTTAGCAAAATTGCACATAAAAAACAGTTACTTTACCATTTCACTAGAGCAAGTCAATTCACCTATTTTATTTTAATTTTTTTTAAAAGAAATTAGACATTGCCTAAAAAATAAAAGGTGCTTACTAACACTCAGTGATTTTTCATTGAAGACTTTGCTGCCTGTTACAGTGAAAAAACATTGCCCTAACAGACAGTTATGAACCAAGGAAGTTAAGGTTCTTCCACAATTTTGTGATCAACAACATAATAATGGCAATGTGGTCAGCATTACACACCTACTGCCTTAACTTCCTAGATAAGTTTATACCCATGGATCTGATGCTGGATTTGCTTTAAGTCACCACATCACCAGTACTTCGAAAGTTCTGTACCTTAACCACTATGCCATCACGACACAATAGCGCATAATTCAAAAATTATTATAAGTACAGAACTTTTTTTCAAATGTTGTATTAGGTGATTTTTTCCGTATTGGTGTTAAAATTTATCTTAAATATTTGCCTTTAAAAATTAACATAAATTAAGAATGCAGTTAAAAAACTTGAGCTTTGTTTTCTACATTTTATTTATATAAATAAAATATACATATACCTTGCTTACAGCATGAAGACAATCAGATAATGTCAGATCATATGAGCTTTGGCCATAAGATGCATCTCTGCAACAAATTAAGAAAACAATCGAAAGGAAACTTAATCTGAGAGCTGAAATCTCACAATAAGAATTAGTAAAATAAAAAATGGAAGAAAAAAAATTGTGATAGCTGACAGACTCACACTATTTTAAAATTATTTATTTTATTTTAAAATTATTTATCTGGAAATGAGTTTGAGTCCATAGATTGATCTGCGTACTTTGAGCCAGAACAAAAGAAACTGCTACTCAAAACTTAGTACTTCTAGTCTGATTTGGGGGAAACTATTATGAACTCATGGGAATTACTTTGAAATTGATAAACGATACAAGCATTTTTAATGTTTCCCTTTTGTGATATATTAAAATCAAATAAGTTTCCTTTCTAAAATTTTAGGCTTTTTTTTAAAAATGTCATATTTTGAAAATCAATTGATACTAAATAAACTTCTAGTGGTCACTTGAATGGCATGAAATTTCAGAATGGAGGAAAGATTTTTCTCCTTGCTCCTGTTCTCATCCCGCTAGTCCTGCTCACCTTTTAATATGTTTAGATGCCTCCTGGAGGCAGCTATTGGTTGACCAGGATAAGATTTTTTTAAGTTTTCAGGCGACAAGGTCTTTTGGACCTGGTCTAGGCTTTCATACACTAGGAGGATGAATAACAACAAATAAACTCCTCAATTTAATTAAGTACTCATTCAAAGTGCTAGGTACTTTTAAGCAAGGTTGGTAAACAAGTGTGATTGATTTAAACCACAGATAAACAAATATTTTTAAAAATCTTTTCAATAAGTAAATTTTCTTTTAATTTGTATGAATTTTTATCAGCTAGAATATTGCCAAACGAAAAAAAAATATGAATTTTCTCAAATATATTGCAATTTTGATTGTTAATAACTAGTACACTTTAAATAGACATAAAGCAGCAATTTTTAAATATTTAAGTAGAATTAGCGTTTTGAGAAGAATACTTTGGTAAAATAAATTATTTGGGGCAAATTTCAGATAAAATACTAAAACACTAAATATCAGATACATTTATACAAATCCATCTCTAATAAAAACTATAAATTCAAAGAAGACAAAATTTTATAATAAGATGTTTCATTTTCCAATTTCTTTAAGTTAAAATTTTCCTTAAAAAATGACACAACATACCTAAAAGGAATGAACAAAGGGCTATTGTTTCCAACAAGGGGCTGATAAGCTTCCACAGCTGATTTTTTTAGGTAAATTATCTGAGATAAAAATTACATTGTATTAAAATACAAATATGAATAATTTTAAACAAAAGCTAAAAAAAAGAAATATTCTTATTTTCCCACCTTTTTTTTTTTTTTTTTTTGAAAAAAAAAGGAAGAAAAAAAAATAGCCAGCAAATCTTTAAAATACAGAATCATAAAATCAACTCATAATAAAACTTTATAAATTGCTGCAATAATTTTTTTCGTCAAAAATTTATTTTCTGTAATTTTAAGACAAAATTTAGAAACCAACAACTTAAATCAAAGCATTATAAAGCCCTTAATAATGTTAAAAATCATATAATCATTTGTTTGCTGCTTGTAAGCAGGAATAACTAAATATAGTAGTACACAACTTTACAAGTATTCAGTAACATCAAACCATAGATTAATTATTATAAGAATTTTGTGATGATAATAAGTATTAAAAAAAACAACATTAAAAGTCACAAAGATGCTGCATTAAAAATGCATATAAGTTTCAAAGCTACACTTGAGCATCTTCAGTAATCTCTTATGGCCATTTTTCTGTTCTTTAATTTGCAAATATGACATAAAAATGAAGCTTCAAAATTTTGTATGCTATTTTAATACAACATATTTGCAATTTTTAATGTCAGTCAAATTGTTAAGAAAATCTAGTATGATGCAAATAAGATAATTTGATCCAAAAATTAAGAAAAAAAGTTATATGACTTTTTTATTTCAAACTTACTGCATATGACCCAATGAGGAAAGCTGAATTCACTCTTTTCTTAGCATCTACAACAGTGTAATGAATAATCTTTTTCTTTAGCAACGAATATGCCTTGGGGAAAAAAGAAAAAAAAAAGATATTTTAAAAAACTTTTCATGTTACAAAAAAATAAATTATGTAAAACTAAAACTTACTTTTAATTTCTTATTCAGCTTCATACAATAGCGGTAAAGTTTTGCGAGATTCAACGGTCCAAAATCCGAGTAGAAACTGAAAATGTTTTCCAAAATTATAAATCAACCCCTTCTAAGAGCTCATAAGAAATCATTATACAAAAGTAACTTCTAAAATAATCACTTATTGAATTTTTTCACAAATTAAACAGGTGCAATTTATATTAAAAGTTTCTTAATACTAATCATATATAAAACCTAAGGAGTAGTTGCAACTAGTTGCAGTTGAAAATACAGCTCTTATATATTATATTACAGATTTAGTATAAATTTTTGATTCAAATGTCTAATTCATTAGATAAAACCCTTTTTTTTAAACATATTTAGTTCTATTAAATATTTTTAATATATTTGGCTAAGTTTAAATCGTTTAGATTAAAAGAGGAAAAAAAATTCATTTCAAGAAAATCATTTAAACAAACATTTATAATAATGTAGAGAAAAATATTGCTTGAATAAATAATTATTTAAACTTTTACAATCACAAACTTAATAATAACTAAACATTTTTGAGCCTATGTCTGATTTAACTATTGAAAAAGAATACAGAAAACTATTTAAAATTCAGATTAATATATGAATTATTAATAAATTATCCTTTAATTAATAAAACACGAAACTTAATTTATTAAACTAAGTTTCTAAGCTATTTGCCAAGCTATTTAATGTATCATTTTTAATAGGTTCCTGTGTTATGAATATTTAATTCAAATTTTTTTTTTGTTATAAAACATTTATATATGTGCTAGTGAGATATAGATAAATAGTTCTTTTCTTAAAAAGATTTTAAGTACAATTTCAATATTTTGCATAATTATATTTTTAAAATTTTTTTTTCTTTCTCCCAAGTTAGAGAAAAGTTCACAGTCTGTCTCCATAGCCCTGGATTTTTAAAACCCAGTGGAAACGCGAAAGAATAATTGCCAAAAAATAGCTTGGATTTGTGACGAAGTTAGTGCAAATTGAACAAGTCAAAAATAATTATTAAAATGCACAATTTGAAATTTGCAAACCTCAATAATATTGCTTTGAAAAAATCAAGATTTTAAAAAACACAAGGATAACCCGACAATAACTGCAAAAAGCATGATCAAATAGTGGCTCGTATTAACAATGAAACGGTTAAAAGAAAGTCTGCTAAAAAGTAACTATTTTGAAATTTTCAAAAATCGTATTAAAAATATTAAGAGTTTTAAAACTATAAAGAAATGAGTAGCAATAACCACCAAAAACAAAATAGAAAAACCACTCAGATTTACAATGGAACCTAAGTAATTAGAACATGTTTAAGTGTGTAGAATCAAACCTACAACTAATTTTTAAAAATGTTATTTCTATTTTTTGAAAAAAAAAGAAAGAAAAAAACAGCTTGTGCGTCTGTATTTTAAGCAACTTTTCTGTGATCAATTTAGATTTATTCATTTACTTCAAAATGAATACTTTACTTCATTTACTACTGACACATCATGGTCAAACCTGTTTCAAACTATATTGAACTTAAACAATTTATAAATTTATATCATTTGATAAGATTTATAAAAAAAAAAACTCTACCTTTTGACACATAAATTTTTATTTGTTTAAATATTTGCAAAAAGAAGAAAAGGTTATTTTGCTTTTTAAATCAAAACATGCCTAAAGTTACATATTGACAAATTTGTTTTATATCAAGGATTCTGTGCATGTGCTATAATGCACCATATATGCAAAAAAAAAAAAAAAAAAAAAAAAAAAAAACAGTTGAGGGGCTAAAATAAAAAGGTTATGATGCTCTGAGTAGAAGTGAATTCTTCCTCACGAAAAATAGTCAGATACAATATTAAACAGAAGAAAAAAAATCTTTCCTTAGACTATCAATAGAAGAAACCTTATAAATGCACATATTAATAGATGGATAAAGAGGTAGAAATCTTGGAGACTTCTTTTTCCCGTCCTTTCTCTACATTGTTTTAATTCTGAAACATTATTTGAAATGCAAATTCATTTTATTTTAGAACTTTGCAATTTTTTTTAAAGCTTTACAGTATTTTAACAATGTTATTTGCTCATTCATAAATTATTTTACATTTAAGTAACGTACATATTATTTAATTTTTAGAGATACTTGTATTATCCTACATTTAGAAAAGCTTATTCTTAATGATCTACTCAGCATAATGTTTATACGTATCAAAAAGAATCAAGTGTGTCTTGTTTTCTTCTATCAGGTGATCTGAAAAGTTTGTTTGATTTTAATCTTTTAATGACAATTATTGTAAAAATTTTGTTTTTAATTCCTTGTTAAAAAATTACTGATTAAATTATTTAATTGCATTTCTTTTCATAATAATAAAATACTTGATGTTATGTAACATATATTTAAATGGAAAATTTGTATTTTAAAAAGGGACCTGCTTTTATTGAGAAAAAAAAAGACCCATAAATTTGGAAGTTCTGGGTGCTAAAGACCCGACTCTTACAAGGTCTAAAGAAATTATTGTATATTTTGTATTATATATTGTGTATTATTTTCAATAGAAGTAAATATAATTACCCATCATATTGCAACTCATTATCAATTGAAAAGAAGTGGAGATTAGAAGTGGATCTGGGCTTGATAGGAGTATTTAAAGTTGCAAAATACAAACGATCTGAAAAAAATATAAATAAATACAGGTTCTGTAAGAAATTTTCATTAATGTTGGTGATCACAATGAATATGGGTATAATTATTTTTACATGGCATCTCTCATTTATAGATAAAATTAAATAACCTAGCGTAGAAAAGACACAAAGGTGCTCTAAGTGCATTTTGAAAAAATATTATTCAGATTCCATTTACATTAATTAACCAATTTATGTCATTTAGCAATAGCTGCACACAAATTTTGCATTTTTTTTTTAAATTTTCAATAAAGAAATAGGTTATAAATGCAATACATATCATAATACCTAAGATCAAATTCTGGGAACAAGAACATGTTACAGTCTGATATAAGAACAAAATATTTTTTTTTTAATTGATAAAAATTAAGTACAAATTTTTCAAGGACTGTTATATATTTTTCAAAACTGTTTATAAATTAATAAAGATGAAAAAAAAATAGTTTCAAGAGTATCCTATCATCAAAAGCAGTCTATAGGATTGTTTGGAAAGTAATTTCTTTTTTCTTTAAAAAAGACTTAACTTATTTTTTCTTAGCCAACTTTACATTAAGCTGCATAATCATTTGATATTTTGACAACTGATATACTAAGGCTTGCTTGTGAAAAAGTTTCATTGTTTATACACAGTAGGGCAATTCCATGAAAAGGGGGAAAAGCATTGGAAAATTCAAATAAGAATAATGTTATTATTTTGGATGTTTTCTGAATTAGAAAGGTTTGAAGTTTGATAATTTATCATAATTTTTTTTGAGAATTTAGTTTTTTAGTATTGGCAACCCATTGAACATTGGCATTTGCTTGTTCTGATTTGGGTGAAGAACATGGGCAGATTTTGAAAATCAGTAAATTAACATTATTTTCATTTCAAAATGTTCCAAAGAAAAAATATTGTTTATTACACTTAATAGAAATATTGTGCAGTGTAGAAATGAGTTTTTGTTGTTAAATTCACTTAATTATATAAATTTCAAATAAACATTATTGCATGTAACGTAAGTTACCAAAAACTAGGAAAAGTTTTTATGTGTAAAAAAGATCAAGTGATACAAAAGTAAGAATAATATTTTTTCATCCTTAGAGGCTAACACAAAATAAGCAGCAATAGTTTTCTTTTCAAATATTACTTATTTATTGTTTTGTGCACTATTCAATATGTGTAACGTAAGTTACTGACATGCATGTAATGTAAGTTACCAATGTGAAATGAGTCTATTTCTCTTGAAAATTGGCATATAAACTAAATAAGATGTATCCAGTTACAATACCAAAGTTTAAATTAATAAACACTGCCTTAAGATATTAATTTTATTGAAAATATTTGCATTAACTCATTTAATTGGGTGTTGGCATTAATATGTTTTCGAAATTGGACGAAATCTCTCGACAAGCACCAGGAGTTAAGGATGTGATTATAATTCGAAATGCTAATGGTGGTGAAAAGAAAGTACAAGCGCGGCATCTTCTTCATTCAGTTCGAGAAATGCACTAAATGTTTATCGAAAAAATTCAGAATCCAAAATTGGAAAAACTAAGTTCTTTGATCTCCGTCCAAAGCATGTCTTGCTTAGTATCAAACTCCCAAGAAATGTTTGTCTTTGTAAGTATCACGAAAACTTCAGATTGGCTACTGAAGCCTTCAGCAAATTCTATAATGTTCCATCTTTCGAAATTCTTCAGATATTTATTTTTATGCTCAGAAAAAACAGATGAGTGCTGGTCCAGAGAATATGAAACTTGTTCTCATCAACTTGAAGATTCGCTAAACAAAATAACCCAAAAAGAAAACCTAAATGATTTGAATTGTTATGTATGGAAGGAAGATGATGCTGGCCAACTGAAAAAAATTTTAGAAGAAGGAAATTCAGAATATTTGTCTGAACACATAAAGAACATGAAGCCACAGTTTCGAAACCATGTTAAAACCAAGCGTGAACAATCGCTTGCTAACAGATGGCAAGTCCAAGCTGCAACGTTATCATCATTCGATAAGGACACTTCAATCATTCAAATAGATTTCGAAGAAAATTATTCGTGTGAATACCAAGGCGCTGGACCGCTCACTGGACGAAGAAGCAAGTCTGTATTTTCACCATATCAGCATGGTACTCCAGAAAGCATCATTCTATGGCCTTCATAAGTAATGATTTAGATCACACTAAAGAAACGGTAGTGCCATATATGGATTACATTTCGGAAAATTTGCCACTGGATATCAAAAATGCTTACATCTGGCCAGATGGGCCAAGCAGCCCGTTCAAGAATCGATATAAAGTTTCGGTCTTACATGTTCTAGAGCTTCATCATGGGAAAAAATTGATGTGGAATTATTTTGCCACGTCACACGGCAAAGGTCCTGTTGATGGGACAAGTGGATCTATTGAAAGGAGTGTGAGAAATGTCGTATTGAGAAGAAAACATATTGTCACCAATGCCTCTGAGTTTGCGGTAGCAACACAAGAGCATTTAACAAAAATAAATGTGGTAGAAATCACACCAGAAGATATTAAGAAGCGTCAGCAAAAGTTACATCTTTCCAGTCTATTCTCAAAAGCTCCACTGATTAAAAGCATTAAGCAGATCCACCTCTTAAAAGTACAAGAAGGCATACCAGAAGGGTTTCTTAGTGAAAGATGTTGAGAAACAAAATGAGGAATGCAAAATAAAATCTGGGGATTGGTATACGATTAGATACGAGGACATGTTGTATCCTGGTGTGGTAATGTCTGTTGAAGAGCAAGAATTTAAAGTCTATGTAATGGCTGCAGTGGGAATCTATTGGAAATAGCTAGAAAAAAGAGATGGAATATTCTGCCAGAAAGAAAACATGGTGAAAAGAATTGAGCTCCCTGTACTAGTTAATAACAGAGGACATTATAAGTTTGCACAGTAATGCGTGAATCAAGTGTGTAAATCAAAAATGTCTTCATGTACACTTTTTCTCCCTTGCACTATACTGTTTAAATATCCTAATTTGCATTTGTTCATTCTTGGAATAAAAGTTTTATACAAAGTGAATTTCGTAACGTAAGTTACTGTAACGTAAGTTACCCATTTTAAAAATTATATTTAATTTACCTTTTGAAATAAAATTTTAAATCTAGGCATAAGAAATATTTAAACATGTCAGTAAAATGATACATATAATCTTAATCAATTAACATTTGTATAAGAACAGAATTTTGCCTTCAAGCATATTGCAAATTTTTGCAATTCCTTTTACGGTAACGTAAGTTACCACACTAATTTTAGGTTTTTACACTGTTTAAAATAAAAAATATTAATTATTTTAATTAGGTTCCTTTTGGTTTTGATTGTAATTTTAAGAAATCACTTTATTTCAATATGTGCATTAGTATTATTTGTTTGTTTCTAAGTTCTCAGTGCAATAAAACTTCTGTGAATGTAACGTAAGTTACCGTGGAATAGCCCAGTAGCTTTTGGTTGGCGCCCTTCCAAATACAGAAAGTGAAACTGCTGCTCAAGCCAAAAAGAAATTATCCGATATATACAGAGAAGAGGTATTGAGAAAAGACCAAACTGGTTTGCAAAATTTTGATCCGGAAATTTTGATGTTGAAAATAAATTGCATTCTGGAAGGCCATTAGAGGCTGATGAAGATATAATAAAGGCATTAATTGATGCAAAACAGCAATTATCAACTAGTGGGATTAAATTTATAAAATCCAGTCGTTCATGATTATTTGAAAAGACTGAGTTTTATCTCAAAGCTCAACACATAGGTTACCTCATGTTCTTGAGGACAGATATTTGTGCCTAAATGTAGATATCCATTATAGTTTGCCTCTCAATTGTTAAGAAAATGATCATTTTTGAAGTGCATCATCACTGAGGACAAGAAATGAGTATTCTGCAAGAATGTCCCGGCTTCCACAACATTTTTTAAAGGGCGAAACCTTTACTTCAAATGAGGATGTCAAAAATCTCTAGGTTCAGTTTTTTGAAACAATTGAAATTTGAAGAACAAAAATTTCACGCGTGGAATCATGCTACTGTCAAAAGAAAGATGCTAAATGGCTTTGGACTGAATGGACAATGAATAATCCAGTAAAATATTTATTCACCATAAGAAAATACTCCTACATTTTTATAATCGAAACAAAAATTACTTTTTGAATAATCTAATATTTTGTGGTCCAATAACCAATGCTGATTTTTTTTTAATGTTTGCGTAAACATTTTCAAGATAATTTAAAACTTTTAATAGCTAATTTTTTAATTCAATATATATTTCATAAATGCAATATTTTAGTACATAAGTTTAAAATCTGTGTACAAGAAAATGTAATAGTCTGATATAAGCATAAAATATTATTCTTAAAAAAAAATTTATAAAAAAGTACAAATTTTTAATGCATCAAAACTGTTTATAAATTCATAACGATGAAAAAATTGTTTTTGTATCATCAAACACAGTCAATTCTTTTACGCAGATTTTATTTAAACTTTTATGCTAATTTAAATTTTTTAATTAAAAAAAATTATCACAAAGCATTTATATAATATATAATCTTATTTATTACATAAACTTTTCCTAACACAATTAATTAATTAAAATGAACTTCCTTGAATTTTAGTATAAATAATTTTAATTTAGATTCCTAAAATAAAATATTTTCTGTTTCCAACAACACATCATTTACACTTAAACAAGGAAAAAAAATCTAAATTTAGAAAGGCATTAAATTTAGAAAGGCATTATCTTCGAAGGTATCAAAGCTGAAATATCTCTTTAGAAAGTTAGTTATAAGTTGAAAATTAAAACTAGGATTTAGTTTTCAGATTTTTACACTATCTCCTTCTCAAAACAGACAAGTATCTAGATCATTTACAAATGCATTTACTAATCTATTATAAGCTGAGATTTTTATGATCAAAAACATCTTCTCCTCTGTAAGTATGAAACACTTATTTTGCCAATTTTTTAATTTAAAAATATAATAATAAAAGTATAAAAAATTCTTTATTTCGTTTTTGATTAAATTTTAAAAAATACTTTAAATCACAGAAAAATTATTACTTGAAATAAATTACTTAAATGCATTTTCCGGATAAATGTATATTTATTACACCAACTTCTTTTTTTGCACACTTAATTAACATGAGCATCTAAAATTTTAAACAATCCGTTTTGGGATATTTTGGCATCGTCATCTGTCGCACCAACTTCAATTGCCAAATGAATTTTATATTTACATATCTAAAAATAAAAAAAAAACATGAAGAGGTTTGCCTAGGGATGACAATGAGGTATACCCTCAGAGTTGGTCCCCTTACATGATCTTTTTTTTAGTTTTTCGCAGACAGCTTCTCAAAAGTTGCCAAGACTTGGAGATTATTCTGTCGCAGATCACGAACAAAAATATTTCTATCCGTTCAACTTTAATCAATAAATATTTATATATAAATTTCAAAAGTGAAATATTTTATGTTTCAAATAGCATGAAACTTAGTAGAAAAAATTTCTCTTTTATAATAATAAAAACACTGATATTTAAGAAGCAATATAATTTAAAAACAAATCAGACCAATTCATATTAATTACGAATCTGTTTATAAATCAAACGTTTTAAATACCCTATGGGAGAAAAAATAAAAGCTCAGAAAAAATAGAGCAGGGGTCTGTCTAAGATTTTCTGAGAGGTGCCGATTTTGTGAAAATTTAGACATAATTGGTGAAAAATTAAAAATTATATTAACAAATCAACACAAAAACATAGTAAAAATTTAGATTTATCGTTTCTTAAGGATACAAAAATAAAATTTTAAGAAAAAGTATTTTGTGTCTCAAAGTTGAATTTGTGAAACTACCGTTTTTCCTAAAATTGAATTTGTGAAGGTACCACTAAACGGTAGTAAATTCGGCCTGGACAGACCCTGTAGAGGAACAGCAAGCTTTTATTACTATTCATATCCCATTGTATAATTACATTAAAAGAAAACAGTATTTTTAAAAATGCAGCTTATATATGCAAATAGTAAACAATATTAATTCAGATGGGAAGCGCAATCAAATATAACGGTTATACAGAAAATCTGCACTTATGTTTTGTGCCATTTTTACGAATAAAATACCTTTAATGTATTCTGCAACATGAACAGAGATATCAGCAAGTTCTTCCATTTTAAAATTTATCTGGAGTGTTTATATTGCAAGTGATTTGTTGACATTTGGTGAAAAAACTAAAATTTTTAAAATCCTAACGATTAAATAACAATTTAGATCATCAGCAGAGATCAAGAAAGTAATTAATTTAGAGCGGTTAAAATAAACTACATGGTTTTATGTGGATAGTTTCAAAACATAAATTTTAAAAATGAATGAATAGATAATTAAGATTTTAATGATTATAAATGACAGCTCCCAACGTCTTCATTTTAAATTTTTGTTTATAAATTAAAAAGTGTTGAGTAGTAGTTTTCCTGTTCTTTGCAATGTTGCCAAATATAAGTAGCAATGAGTTTTTGAAACTTAAAGTATGCATAAACAAACTAATCATGACAAGCGGAAGAGTAAATAAGTTTTTTCATACTATTGATTATATTTTTAAGCCATTAATGTGTACCGAAAAAAATTATATGAATCAGAAATTTTTGACAGTTAGTTATTGAGACATAAACAAACCGCTCATAACTTGTTGATCATCAGGTACAAAGTTTCATCATCATGGCTGGCTTTGTAGAATTCTTCGGGAAAAATAAAGTGAATATTAGTAATTTTATTGCTTTTTTATGTTTTAGATACATAAACACTACATTAAAGTTCTGCACACAATATTCTCTCATGTGATCGTGTTTCCTTACTTGCTTTACATACTCCCGTTAAGATTTCTTTTTTTTTTCTTTCTGCGAGTTAAATTTGTTAAGGACTAAAATATATAGCTGTAATAAATATACAAAAATCATTGCAAGAGAGGTGTTCCTAACTTTTTTTCCATGTGTACCATCTAGAGTTTTTGTTTATTCTATGCACTGGAAACTGAATGAAACTTATGTTACTTTCTCTACAACTATAGATAACAATCACATAGCGCATTGAACTACAATTTCCTTGGAGATATTTCCGTATCGTGATCTGTCGGTGCCAAAAATATTTTAAACTTGCTATCTTATAAATAAATAAAACATGTAGAGGTTTGCCTAGGAGTGACTAAGAGTAATACCCTTGGAGTTGGTCCCCTACTGGGATGTTTTTGTTTTTTCTTTTAACTTCTCACGGGCTTCTTCCTAAAGGTGCCAAAACTTGAAGTTTTTCTTCCCGTAGATCATAATTCGAAGATATTCCTTTTTTTTTGTTTCTTAATATGAGTGAAATGTTTCGTATTGTTATTAGCATGGGCTTCAATTGTTCACTTTGTTTTTAATCATGAAAGCAACATTATCTTAAAACTGTTGTTGTCGTAAAACTGTAATCTATCTTGATAAAACATCCTCTTTAATCAAACTGTAAGGACTATTTCTGTAGTGGTACCTGTTAATGCCACCCGTAATTGCCAAGGCAACAAAGGAATTTTAAACATGCAAAAACTTTTAAAAAATTATGTAGATGTAATTTTAAAAAATTGTGTAGATGTTTGCTCGGAGATGGCTAATAGTTATACCTTTTAAGTTGGTCCCTTTCTCCCTTCTGTGACGTTTTATTTAGTTCTTCATGGGCCACTGCCTGAGATCAAAAAACGATGCGAATATTTTGGCACAGATACTGAAACGAAATGTTCCCAAACTGTATAAAAATCTATGTTTTACATTATAGATAGATTTTAAAAATCTTGTCAGATACTTTTAAGAATTAGTAATCATTCTATTTTATTATAATCATTTATTGCATATTGAAAAATTTATTATTAATCAAGATGCTAGGCTGTCAAGAATATATTTTATTTTTAAGTTTCCAATAGAGTGTCATTCATTCAGTTGCTCATTACTCGAATTGTTTAATTAACTGAACCAATCAACTGTCATGCATTTTTTTTTTTTTTTTTTGCCTAATCTAAGATGTTTTTGAAGATTTTGGAAAGCGCAAAGTTGAGGAGGATTTCCTTATAGATATAATTGCCAAAAATTGGAGACTTTCAGGAAGTGGCCTGTGAAAAAAATAAAAAATCCAAAATGGAATCAATTTGAATACCTCAGTAAAAATTCAACAGTTTTTTTCCTTATTTTTAAAAAAAAAATTTGGAAGTTTAAAATTCTTCTGATTTGAACAAATACTGACATAGAAATATCCTCTAAAGTTTTGCTATCATTGCATCAAAAATTAAGATTATGAAAGGATTGGATGTAAGAAAAAACAACATAGTACTTGAATATGTATTAAACACTTCATTTAGGTTTTACTTAAAAAGTGAAGCATTTGTGAACTGAGTTTCTATGAAAAGCTAAATTTCAAAAATGTAGATAAGGAATTATTTGTTCAATTGTCACAAAAATTGAATTCCAAAGAGAAAAATTGCCAATGAAATTCTCAGTTTTTTACTGCATGTTTCATATCATTTTATTTTCATTGAAAAAATTTCAAGAAAATAAATAATACTCGTTACTGTGCAATGTAATATGTTCCATTATAATTATTAGTTTGCTTCTCTAATTGTTTGTTAACATAAAAAGAGGCCAAGAAGGGATTGTTTCTCTCTGTTATTTAAAGTTTAAACAATAGAACATTTTCAACACTTTATAATAGCAGTTACAATGATTTTAGTGTGCTTCCACTGGCTCAGTGTTACACAATTCTCCCATTCATTTATGTTTAAATTTATTTTTTAATCAACAAATTTTAGTTTATTTGTAATTGTATTTACAAATTTTAAACATTGAAAATATTTGTATTAATATATAATATGTTCCAGACTTTTCGTCCAAAAAAGAAGTTTCAGCAAGGAACTTTGCGTTATTCCCTTCATAAAAGAGCCCAAGCTACTTTAGTTTCAGCAGAAAACCTTCAAGAAGCTGTTAAACTACCTCCTGGAGAAAATTTAAATGATTGGCTTGCTGTTCATGGTACAGTAATGGCGCACTTTATGTTTTAATTGTGAAGATTTACAAAATTTTGTACTATTTCTTGTTTACATAGACTTATTTTGGTGAAAAATTTTATGACCATGCCAACCTTCATCTATCAAAAGGTACCTCGTGATAGATGAAGGTTGGCATGGTCGATAACTCCGCCCCCCACAACCTATTATATATTTAAAAAAACATGTCCTCAACATGTCCTCTCCTTCGTTTATCTTGCGAAATATCATTTGTTTATTATTAAAAATATCAAGTTGACATTGTATTTAGTTTCAAAAGGACAACAAGCAATAGTACTATTATTTAGTATTAGTACTTTTTAAAGTAGGCAAAATTTGAAAATAAATTATAATTAGTGTATCAAAATACTTTTACTGCAGGTATTAATTATTAAATGAAAAATTTTGAAAATACAATTTTTGTGTATGTTCTTTACGAAAAAATTCAAATGTTTGTTTTTAGTATGTTTTGATAAAGATACTGATTTTGCTTATAGAATTTTTGGGAAAGTGCCAATAAACAGGGTTTTCTTGATGAAAAATATTTTGTTCTTATTAGTCCTAATTTTTAACTGTCCTTGTATTCATGTTTTTTATGTAAGTCTAAGAATACAATTGCAATTTGTTAAAAAAAAATGGCTTTGAAGAATTAAAATTTTATATGTTTGATCCAACATACTTTTATTTTAAATATTAATACTACTAGAAATTGTGAAATTTGATAGTTCAAATTTAGAGACCGTCTACTAATTACATATATGGTTCAGTCATATAGCCTTACCGACTTGATTCATTGTTTAAATATTTTTAGGAATTCAATCATTCTACCAGAAAAAACTATTAATAATTTTTTTATTATCACATTTTCATGGAGAGGAATTTAAGGGTCATAAGCTTATTTATTATTTTAAGTAAATTCTTAAATAAATATTATGATCTAGGCTTTTTAAGTTACGCAATTATAGATTTGCGTCTTTCGATTGATTTTAGAAATGATAGATTCCTATCAACATTACAATAATCGTAGGTTAGAAATTTTAATTGATGAATTGAGGGATCCATTAAGATTACTTTTGTTCAGAAATGTGAAGTATGAATCAAAATGTTCAAAAATGTGTGGTGTGTTTCTATTTTAACGTAATTGAAACTCTATGTTAAAATTATTTGAGTCATAAAATCTTAGACTTAATTGCATATAGTTATGAGAGACCATTAACTATTTGATTATCGTTATCTTTTAATGCAACTGTACTATAAATTTTTTCCATGCATTGATTTGAAACTATTAAACTTGTTCAATATTGATAACATTATTCCTGAAGTTAAAATTTTCTCTTCTAAGCAAATTAATTTTCTCTTCTAAAAATAGAATATTATACTAGGAGGCTTCGCCCCCTGCTCGCTGGTGCTCACCAACCCCCGGAACTGCTTTCACAGTTCATTTCGGATTGCTTCACAATCTAATGCTCGCTTTGCTCGCTCATTGGATATGTTCTTAACGTCTAGTTTTTGTATACTTTTTTTAATACTGAAGTTCCGAAAACTTTTCACTGTAGAAAATTCTAAACCTGTACATTTCAATATTAATTTGAAATTGCAAACAGTTCACATATCTTTCTTAATCACACTATTCTAAATTTCACTTGTTGAGAAAAGTAACTGTTGTAAGTTTTGTTTAAAAGTTTTTCCCACCAGAGGGCTAAAGCCATGTGTTGTAAAACAATATGAAATAGTAGTCTGCCACTGAACGCCGGATGTAAAGCATCGGCTTTGATGAAGATAATTTTGTACTTTTTAATTCTCTGAAGGGCGCCACCTCAATAATATGGAATTTGTAAAATAAATGTATATATTTTTTATTGTTGATGAAGCCCATCATTTTGGATTTTCATCAGTGTTCAGAAGCAGAACAACTATAAGTTTTTTATTTTATCACAAAAAAATAAAATGTGTAAAAAACAAAGAAAAGAGTAGTAAAATGAGTATAGTCATAGAAAAAGTTAAAATTTTAATATAGTATTTGTCAGTTCAAATAAAACTTTTTGTTTAAGTCACTGCTAACAATTCAAATTTTGCCGAGGCAATTCTAAAGTATAAATTAATTTAGTATTGTTAAGTTGAAACACAATATTTTTAGTTTTGATGTCAACAATACAATTCAATTTTTCACAAAAATGATTGTTTCCATTGTTAAGTTCAATGTCAATAATTCAAATTTTTCTGAGGCAACTCTTAACCTCTAAATATTATTTTTTTTTATGTACACATTTCTAAATGTTAGTATTCAACCACAAAACAACTTAAAGTCCTCAAATTTAGCATGAAGTTGTAAAATGTAATGAAAGAGGGTCATAGCAATAATGAAAGTAGAAGTAAAGTTAGTACTGTAAAATTAAAACAATATTTTTAATCAATGAGCCAAGTTCTTCAAGAAGCAGTTGTAGAAGTAGGTTGTTTATTTAAAACTTTTTATAGAATTTCTTTAAGAACACAATTGTTAATTTGGGCATTTGGCGATACAACACTTTTAGAATTGAAGGATTTGTTACGTCAAGCGCTCAGGTATCATAATTTTGATCTAGTTGCGCTTCTATGTCATTTTGATTTATGTTGCTAAGTTAACTTTCAAAAAATTCTATGGCTGGCAACAGCATTTTTATTTTTTAAGTTGTTTATTTTTATTTCTTTTAGAATTCGTTATTTTTTTAGCGAAATGTTTTTTAACCTAACAGAATTCTTTGCCGACTGTTTTCTCTATGAATGAAGAAAATAAAGTAAATATTTAACTGTTGTGAAAAGAATCTTATTTAGTTGTACAAAGTACTTCAGCCAAAATTTGGGAGCCACGTAAGAGAATTATATATATTAGATCAGAAACACATCATTAAAAGGCAGAATGAGTTGAGTATTGAGTATAGTTAAGTGCTCTCTGCTTATCGAGGCAGAATGCTAAGACGAGCTCTCTGCTTATTGAAGCAGAATGCTTTGGTGTTTTCAAAACAAAGCAAACGTTGCCATCGACGGAAAAGAAATACAGCCAAAATTTGGGAGCCACGTAAGAGAATTATATATAATAGATTATTCTTTTAAGATCAAATTTCCCTTTTTTTTTTTTTTTTTTTTTTTTTTTTGCTCTTAAGTAGGGCAAATAAGGCTTTTTTTAGTTTGCAGTTTTTTACAAGTAGTATTGTATTTGTATACTGTTCCAAAAAATTTCCTGATTTTTTTATTTTTTTAATTTATTTTTAAATGTTTTGATTTTTTCTTGTTTTTACTATGAAGCCTGCAGTAACGATAATAAAACCATCCTGTATTAGTGTCTAACAGCTTATCAATTTTTCTATACATTTTTAATCATATTGTTTATTTGAAGTAATATCTGTACTGCTATTTATTTCCTTTTTAGATAATTGCTTATCTTCTACCAATGCAATACTTATAAATAATACATAGAGAAAAAAATTTTTTAGACTACCATTAGTATTAAAAGTTAGAAAAACAAAATTTTTTATATTATTTAAAGGAAATATTAGAGAAAATTCTTATTTAAAGATTTTTATTTTATCTCATAACCATGGTTAAACAGCCAACCCAATTTTGATTTTATGACTAGTGTTTATGTTATTATTTCTTCTTTTTCAGTGGTTGACTTTTTCAACAGAATTAATTTAATATATGGCACTGTGATTGAATCATGCACAGAAGAAAGCTGTCCAACTATGTCCGGGGGACCAAGGTAATTTTTCTTTTTCGAAAAATAATTAGCCAAGCACATATTTATGTATAATAATAACCTTTTTAGAACTAAATAGTGTTTTATATATTTTTTTTATTAATCTAGTTTTTTTTAAAAAAAACATATTAAACTTTTATTATTATTGGATTATAATTTTGTTATTGGGGATAATGAATTTGACTTTCATGAAGAATTATAATTTTTTGGCTATATAATTAATTGGAGACAATGAATGACCTTCTTAATAAAGAAATTTAGTTTTTGATTGAACATATTACTTAAAAGTAAAATTCATTGGCATCAATAACATTATTTTAATACTTCTTTTTTTCAATAATGTTGGCAGCTGTGTAATATACTAAAATACAGCATTTTAATGCAGCATTTATAATTTTATTAATACAGCATTTATAAATAATAGACACAAAAATAGCTAAGGAGTATTAATGTATTTTTATTTCAATTTATTTCCAAGCTATAAAATTTCTTTTCCTATTTATAAAAGTTAATCTTTTATTGTTGATTGAAATTCAATAATATTTCATTGTTTAAGAACTGTAGAATTTATCAATTCACTGTTCTCTGTAGAATTTATCAATTTAATAAATTTCATTTATTCTGCAAATATTTCAAGTTTTCAAACATTCACAGTAGAACTATGAAGTTTTGGAGAGATTTGCATTAGTTTTTAATAAAGGTAAATAAGAAAAAAAGAAAAATAGCATTTAATATTATTTTTGTATCATCAGTATAATTGTACTATGGAATGTCTTATGTGTTCTGACAAAAAAATTTTTTTTTATTTAGTTGTATAAGTCTGTCTTTTATTATTAAGTACAATTCAATAATGATTTATTGTTTTAAGTTGATGTTGTGCACCAACATTGGTTTGGTAATTTTTATTTATTCTGTATACTTTACTTCAACAAGTAAATGAATTTTATTTATAATAGCTTGATCATTTTATGATAGCTAAATCAAGAAAAGAGTTTTTTGTCAGAAACTAGTTATTTTTTCGTGATCAAGTAAAGTCTTTGAAAATTATTTTGCATTTACATTTTCTAATGTGTTTAGTGCTTAATATTTTTTGAATGCTTAAAAGGTGCTTATTTTTTGTTGGAAGATTTGGCTATGCTCCCTGATATAGATTACTTTTGAATGTCCCCATGAAAAGTGATTTCTTACTGCTAGTTAAATATTTGTAAATATTGATTTGCAGATTTGAGTATTTATGGGCAGATGGTGAACAATACAAAAAGCCTACACGTCTACCAGCACATAATTATATATCTTTGCTTATGGATTGGATCGAGAAGCAGATTAATAATGATGGAATTTTTCCTGTGACAGTCGGTATGTGTTTCGTTTACTTTATTTCTGATCAAACTTTTTTGTTTTTTCATTATTTTAATATACTAAAGCAGAATTCAATCTAAAATAAAATTGTTCAAGTCAATTATTAAATCGTTTCTTGCTTTGTTAATTTCAAAGCTGAAAAAGAATAAAGTTTGAGATCATTGAAAGAAAATTAATTTGCATATTATAGTTGCAGTGATTTAATTTAATTGTAAAAATCTAAAGAAAGGCTCTAAAGTAAAAAATTACCAAGTATTTAATTTTGCTAACTGTTAGCATATTTATCATCTGAATCTTTGCATTTTGGTATCATAACATCTTTCTATTTTATAAAACCTATTAATTAGATTTGGGGAATGGTAAAAGTGTAAAAATGCTTCTTCATTGCACTTTTCTACAAAAGTTAATTACTATTACATTTTGTTGCTTCTATGGGATTAAATATAAAATATTTTTTGAAATATATGCCTGCATCATTATTAGTTGACAATTTTGATCAAAACTACTATAATGTACTTTTAAAAATAAATTTGCCTTAAATTTTATTCAAAGATATCAATAATATATTTGAAATCTTTCTTTTGTTTTAATTTTGTAGTAAAATGATTGTTTTTCTTTTTTTATTACAGACATTCCTTTCCCTCGCAATTTCATTCCAACTTGTAAAAAGATACTTACTCGCTTATTTAGAGTATTTGTGCATGTTTACATTCATCATTTTGATAGAATAGTAGCTATCAGAGCTGTAAGTATTATCAGTTATTATTTCTTTTGTTGTAAATTTTGCTTACATTTCTTTTTAAAGATGGGTTGAAAGATATTTATGTTCACAAGCTCATGTTAATGAGTATGGCATGGTCAATGATAAAGAAATCTCTGACACCATTCTGTCACAACTGTAAGTCCTCTTGTTGATTGTTGTAAGTTTGGAAAGAGGGGCTGTCACTGGCCATGTCATTTGGCTGGTATTAAAATTATGCAGCATTCCTGTCATGGACGTTAAAAGATAGAGCCCTGAAAAACGGGTTGTGGCTGGGTAGTGTGTGTTCATGTTAGCGAGTATTTACTTGATATTCTCCGTGTAAAATAAAAATTTAAAACTGGTTTAAAATCATGTTTTTCATAAAGGTAAACTAGTATATTCCTTTTCTATACATGGTTGACTCTAGAAATTGTTACAGCTGTAAAAAAAAAAAAATTAGAAAATAATAAGAAATTTAAAAAAATTAATTAAGCTAGGTGAAAGTATGCATATTAAAGACTGTATTTTAGAGTGGGCAAAAAATTTTCAGTTTATTGGTACCAATCATGCATATGACTGTTATATCATGCATTTGCATAGTTATCATATTATTTAACATTCTTGTTTAAGATTCTGCAAATTGTATTAGGATGCTTAACATGAAATGTACTTTCTACTGGTTGATTATAAGGGTGCTAGAAGTTCAGCTTACAAACAATGTAAGCATTAGCCAAATAAGTACATACTTAAAATGCATATTATAATATATTTAGTGAGGAATCAGAAATTATTGATTAAGTTGTGGAAGCATTTAGATTATTATAATAATAGCTAAATTGAGATTTTTGGTTATAAAAGTATTTATAAAAAGCTAGGATACTATTATAAATTGAATGCTCACAAAGTATATCATAATAGGAAGTTGTTTTATAAGAAAGACTTAATTATATTTGCTGAATTATTTAATATCTTTAATTTCAATTATTAGACCTTTGAAATTGATAAAAAAATGTTTAGTGATGTATATAAAAGTAACATTTTAAGTGAAAATATATTTCTTCGTGCTTATTTTATATTTATTTTTAATCTTTTTTTTTTTTTTTTTATTCTTACCTTTTTCTTATTTTTAATTAATTTGTTTGTTTTTTTATTCATACTTTTAGGAAGCACATGTTAATACCTGCTACAAACAATTTTACTACTTTGTTAAAGAGTTTTGTCTTGTCAGTGAAAGAGAACTTGAACCATTGGTAAAATTGATTTTTGTTGCTATTTCTTTTATATAGTTTTTCTCTCAGATTTAAATTTTTTTTCTTAAGAAATTACAATTACTAGGCAAAATAGGAAAAACTGTTTGATTTACATAAGTGTAGCACAATTAAATATATTGGTTATTGCATTACTGTAGTATTGTGTTACTGTAGAACAGAATTGCACAACCTATGGCCCATGTACCATAAGTGGCCCACAAAGCCTTTTAACTTGTCCCTTGAACTCTCTAATAGATTCATAAAAATATAATGGGAAAAGAAAAAAAATTTTTTTTTTAAACCCTGCTTTGTAACAGTAAGTTACTGATCTGGTTCGGCCTTTCTCTTAAGTATTAGAGTATTACTTTTTCATTATGGAAGTTCAGTTTATGCATTGAAATGAAATGTAATTTATTTACTTAAGAATTTGTGCAAATAAACTGAAAAAAAGTGAGAAAAAATCGAATTTGATAAGATAAATGAAGAAAAAAAAATTATTTCAAAATTTTATTACCAATCATCACATTTATTTATTGCTGTATTATTAACAAATTTTGTTTTCTAAATATTAGTTAACCTTCAGAACAAAAATAAATTAAAGTTACCTTTTTTTCCCTTTGTATTTCTATAAATTCGCCATAATTTGCTTTGTAATCTAATTAGTACATTTGTTCAAATTTATTTACATTATTTTTATTACCTGCAGTAAAAGATTAATTATATATTGGTAACTCGTTCATGAAACAGAATCTAAATACTCCCTTCATTTTCCTAATTACAAAATTATATTAATATTGACCTCCAACACTGTATCATGTAGTTTTTGTGGCCCACTACCTAAAATTGGTTGCACACCCATGCTGTAGAATCTAAAAAAACTGTAACTGTTGAAAAACTGTAGTATTAACTGAGCCTTTATGGATAATCAAGATTATATTGTTAACTATTAGGTATAGTTCAAATTTTATTTTCAACTTAACCTACAGTAGTACCAATTATAAATTCACCAAGATAAGATTAGTCAATCAAGCATTTGTTAGAAAAAATAAAAAGTTTTTTTTTTTCGATTTGTGTTGTATTTATTTAAATTTTTTTTTGCTTGAAAACCATTTGTTTTGTAATTGCTAAAGTTTATTTGTGATTCAACTGCAAATCTATGCCTTCCCTATTGCTGCTTGGGGAAGTTAAAATTTGTTAAAGTATCTCAGCACATATTAAGTTGATCATGAAGCATTTCTCATTTCCAAAACACCACACTAATGATAAACCCATTATGATCTTTTCAACTCTGATATCCAAAGATACATACGGAATAAGGGAATTAATGATTAAAGCAGAATAATTAGCATAAGAGAAAAATAATAACTAGATTTTTTTATTTTTAAAAAAAGGAATTAATGGTAACAGCATTTCTTTACTATTCCTTACTATCAACTGAATCCTTCCATGTATATTACCATTAAATTGCTCATCCCCTTTGTAGCAGAGCTTGAATAACAGTAGTCCGTGGACCTGGACCACTATAATTTGGACTATCATAAAATAATTATTAATGGCCTCCCAAACTAGCAATTAATATTAAGTGATGGTATTCTAATTTTGGTTAATTTTTATTTATTTTGTATGTTTTTATTATAAAATAGCATATTTAATCCCAATTGCGAACATTGACATTGTAATTTTTTATTTAATTTAATTTTAATTTTTTAAGAAATCTAATACAGTACAGAACCCGCTATCCAGAAAACCGGAACGAAATTTGATACATTTTACCGCCATTTAAAAAAAAAAAATTTCCTCATAAGGTTTTAGGATTTTTCATTCTTTTTTGAAAGAAGTTTACCTTACCATCATTTTGAAAATAATCATTAGTGTATTACTTCATCTTTTTTTCTTCTATTTAAGATTATTTCCAAATATTTTTTTCATTTCGGTGGGTTTAACAATAAAAAAAAACGGCTCTTTGTAGCAATTCAGAAAACCGGAAAAATCAGTAATCCGGAATAACAATGGTCCCGATCGTTCCAGATAATCGGTTCCCTACTGTATAAGCTTGTAAATTAACCATTAAAAATGTCTACAGACTAGTAATATCTTTGAATTTAGGTCCTTGGGATTAATGACTGAATTTTTAAATTTCATCTGTTAATGTAGAAATATTTATTTTTAAACATATTTACTGATTCATAAAAGAAAAATGTTTTTTTAATAGTCTTAACGTTAATTTTTTTTTTTTACATTTTTTTTAAAGATTGATTACATAATATTTATGACATTTAACAACATTTTTCTTTTTCTTATACATTTTTGTTACATTTCAGGTTGAAATGACGAGAAGAATCTGTGAGGATAGCACAACCAGACTATATCAAGAGGGTAGAAGGTCATATAGATGAAGACTGACATGTTATTTATATTTATTTGCTCACTCATATTTCATTTATTAAGTTGTTATAATTTCATTAAGATACTTCATAGTTTTTAGATGTGAGTAGGATTGAGCTCAAATACCACATTAATTCACATTATGCATGTTGTTATTTTATTGTTTCATTTGAAAGTAGTAGTCAGATTCCTTAATGTTTTTTTTTTTTTTTTTTTTTTTTTTTTTTTTTTTTTTTTTTTTTTTTTTGTTAGCGCTTATTTATTAAAATGCTGTATATACATATTGAATGAAATATGTAAAATTTCTGTTAGTTATTACCATATAGCTAGTTTGAAATTTGGCAGTTTATAAAAATGTTGTTTTATTTTACTTCGGTTACTATGTTTCCTATTAAGTAGCTGTAAGAGCTTTTGTTGTAATCTTATGGTAGCTTTTTTTTTAAGGAATCTCATATTTAGTTGGAAATTAATCACATAAATACACATTCCTGTAATGATATAGTGCTTAAGTCTATTGTGTGAGATTAGAGGTGAGATGGGCTTGAACTCATGATAAAATTTTCATAAACTTTTTTACTACATTCTACTAAACTTTTTTACTACTTTACTAAGGTATTTTTACATAAAAATGCAGTAGATGAAGCAGAGCAAAATGAAAATAAATTCTTAAAGGTAAGGGTTTTCTAAGAGGGTTTCTGATTGGGAATCTTGCAGGCGATAAAAAACTTGGAAGTTTGTTATTGCTTACTATGCTTTTGCATTTCTCTTTTACATATGATTCAAGGTTTTTCTCATTTGCAGTCTGTTTTATAAGTTACTGATAAAATGTTCTAATGATTAATTTTCATGTCTAAACATCAAAGACCGAGTAGGGAGTCACCAAAATTTGGTCTTTATTTAACATATATTTTGGACTAAAAAGTAATTCTATGTATTTCAGACGTATTCTATGCATTTCTTAAGACCTGGACTCCTAAAATCGAGCCAGCACTCATTCACTATCAGAAATACTAACTGCTCCGGATTCTACAAAGTATTTTTAAAAAAATTTAGTCACTATAAACCAAAATTTGCAGATTTTTACTTAATTTTAAGATTTTTTTTTTCAAGGCTCTACATGAAATAACTGCAACCAAGTGGCATTTCATATAAAGCTTTGAATTATTTAGAAATAGTGGTGGGCAAAAACCCGATAAATTGAATTTACTCGAACATACATTTTTCTACCACAAGAAAACATTTTCCCTCAATCTGGAGTAAGTTGGCATCTCTGTATTGTGTGTTAAATAAATTTTAAAATAGAGTATATTGAAAGAGTTTTTCAAGTAAAGAATAAGAATTTTTATTGCACATTACAGTTGCTTATGGCAATTTTAATTTCTTAAAACTAATTTTTTATAGCTTATTTGGACTATTTTTAAATGTTTCAAGCATTTTTATAGTATTTTTAAGGGAAACTCAAAACTACTTGTTATTTTTGTTTTGTCATTTTTTTTTTTTTTTTTAGCTTTAATGAAGAACTTTTAGTATTTCCTGTAGCATGCTATCAGGTTTAAAGAGGACTTTTTAATTTATATAAAATTAAACTAGAGTGCAAAGCATATTTTATTTTTGTTAGAAATTTATAATTAAAAGTTATGTTTTGAAAACTTGTTTTAATCGAAGTTAAACAGAGGTTTTTAATTTTACAAATTAAATACATTATTAAATCGGTTTTGCTGTGCTGTTTCTCAACTCTAAAAAACTGAGCTTAAAACAGTGTTACTCTGTAATTAATCATTTGACTAAAAATAGTTCTTATTTACATATTTCCTTTATTTATGCCAAGCTAATTAATGTTTCTAAACTGGCAAAAAAAAACAAGTTTTTTTGACAATTGTTTATTTAATTAGGATTAAGATGACACCATGCCACGAGAGAAACTTTTCATCACAAATTCTGTTTCACCTCCATAACTAATTTAAAGTATAGAAAAAGCAAATTCAGACAAACCTAGAGTAGACCTTGAAAGCCATTGCTGAAAAAAATTCAAAAAATGAAAATTCAAGCAAATTATTGGAAGAGAACTTTCCTATTGTATAATCCTAAATTATCCTCTTATAATTTGTTTCTGTTTTGATATTTTGGAAATATCTTTTCAGTATATGAAACTTCATTTCTTACTCTAGGTTTGCTTGAACTCATTTTTCTATACTTTAAATTTTCAATTATTTATGGAGGTGAAAAAGAATTTGCAATGAAAAGTTTCTCCTGTGGTATAGTGTCCTCTTAGGAAGATGTAAATATGTTTTTGTGATATAAAACAATAATATATAATATTTGTAATTTTTGAAACTCTTAAACTTGACCAGCATCCTGATTTTGCAAAGCTGGCTGAAATCTGGTGTCTATATAAGGAATTTTTAGTTAACTAGAGTTAAGAAGATTTGTTGCAATTAGGATAAAATTTAACGTTTGCAATCTTGAAGACGTTAAAGTCTTAGAGTAGCATTTCGATTTTGGAAAATTGGCAAAATTCTGGAGTCTGACTAATATTTAGGCATCTAGGGTTAAAGTTGCAATTATGTTATTTTTTATGTCTTAACTATTGAATCAAATGAGATATATTTTTCTGAGAACGAGGGACCTTCTTCGTAGTTATTAAGATTTAAATTACGATATTAGTTTCATGTAATTTACATGGAGTTGTGCATTTTTTTATAAGCATACTTTCAAAATGGAAGAATCTTTCAACTTAACCTAATAAGTTTTTTCTTTATGCATTTGTTGTATTGTTTACAAGGTATTTCATGTAGTTAGTGCTTATTTTTTTAATGTTTTTTTACAAGCAATCGTACATTATTATAGCTTGTGCTCATAATATTTCATCTCGGTTTCTAAAGCCTTTGTTTTAACTATAAAGTACAGATTTACTAAAACATGACGTTTGGCATTAAAACTCACAAGAATCGGCAAGAATTCACTTAATTCTTAACTGTCTTTGATTGCCACCATTCGATTGTCAGAAAAAATAATTTGCTATCTTTATTTAAATTCACTAAGTGTTCTTAAACATATGACAAAGCTTCAAAAACTCTTTGTAGCAGATATTGTTGTTATATAAATTGAACTATTATGTACAATGTGATTTTGGATAGGCTATAAAATTCACTTTAGCATATAGTTTGAGAAATGTAATATCTAAATAATTCTGAGTATAAACATTTTGTTTTTGAATGAATAAAATAATGTAATAAAACAAAATAAATTAAAAAGCAAAAGACATGTTGTGTAAACGTGGTGTTTCAATACTCCATTTTTTAGTTATAGAGTGTTAATTTAATTTTTAAAAAAATCAAAATGCTTGTATTATCATAAAAATTTGAAATAAGTTATAATGAATTGTAATTTATTACCATATAAAAGAACTTTTTTTTTTATCCTTTCATTACATTAAGAATTATTATTATTTTTGTTTTTGAGGTATGCAAATTATAAAAGGATGCTTGGGAATGTTATGTAATGTTGTTTTTAAGACATTCACAAAATTGATATTATTATGATAATATTTTAAATGATTATTTAAACCCAAAAGTTGAACCCACATCCTATTATTGTTTTAAAATGTTTGGCTGAAAATGTTTTGTTATTAAAAATTAGCTTATCAGATTATATAATAAATTTGTTACAAAAATGTTATAGTTTTTTTTAAGTTTATAAAAAAAAAATTACAATTGGAAAATAATGTAAACAAAATTTTACTACTTTGAAATTTTTTTTACATTTAATAGCATTGTTAAAAAAAGATAACTATACATGTTCATAATAAACAAAGCAAAAAGATAATTAAATGTATTTATAAATCATAAATTTGTATTCAAATGAATTTGTATACAAATAAATGTATTTGATTACAAATTTTGTGACTATGAAAGGGTTTTTATTATCATTTTTATTCTTTAGTCACTTCATATTTGTATGAGTGTAAATTATGTGTAAAAAATATTACAAGATTGGTAATAATTATGAATTTATGGCATCTTATTATTCAGGATGCATAATTTCAAAATATGAGTATTTTTATTGATATTTTATAAAGAACTTTTATACATTTAGTACAGTTATTTAAAGTACTTTAAGAGCCATTTCTTGTTAATATTATGTAATGATATCACTTTAGTTGTATAGCTTATATATTGTACTTATTTATCAAAATATTTAAAAATCCAATTAAAATTATGTCATATGATTTAAAGTAAAAAAGTATTAAGTAAAATGAATAATGTGTTTTAGTGATAAATGAGGGTTTTTTTTTTAAAAAAAACTTTTTTAAATCTGATATTAGTTATAGCATAGTAGTTGGGATGTGATTAGCTTACTGTTGCTAGAAAAGGGGTCAAAAATCTAAAAAAAAAACATGCTTACTTACTAGTATTTAAATTGCTTAAATTTTATAATCTTTTCTCGAAAAAATAGGAAGATTTTTAAATAATCATAAAATTTACTGATCTAGTACACTGATATAGTTTTAGTATTTGAAAGATTTCAGACTAAAATGTAATGTATTTACAGAGAAAAAGAATTTGATTGTTAACTTGGTAATTAATTATAAGTTTCAATACATGTTTATAATAGTACATTTACTGTTCTAAAATTTTTATTTTAAACTTTTATTCTATTTCTACTGTTTTTAGCAAAATATCAGAAACATTTATATATACTAGTATGTATATGTATTATATATATATATATATACTAGTATGTATATGTATTATATATATATACTAGTTGTTAGGCTGATTAAACCAGGCAATATATATAATGCAATATATTTTACATATATACAGACTTCAGATTGATGACCGTTTTTGTTCATTTTGTGGGAGTATCTGGTCTGGTATGTTTAGTTTAAGTGCTACAATCAGGGCCGGATTAACCTATAGGCACGTGCCTAGGGCCTACGAAATTCAGGGGCCTACTAAAAACTTGGGAGAAAAAAATTTGTTGACAAAAATAATTTAGCTTTAAAAACAACAAGTGTATTTTGCACAAAATTATGAAGATACAAAAAAAAATATAATATTTTTCGGTAATAAATTATTTTGCAGAATCTTATGTTCTAATATATTACTTTTTTGCGATTTTTGGATTCAACGAAATCTTGTATTATGCTGTCGAATTCCAAACTACGCAAAATGTCGTATTCAATAGACATAAGTGCGAGCGATGCCAAATGATC